ACAGAGTGAGACTCCAACTCAAAAAAAAAAAAAAGTTCTAGTAGCTTTTTTTGTAGATTCTTGAGGATTTTCTACATACCTGATCAGGTCACCTGTGAATAAAGATGTTATAGTCTGAGTCACTCAACTTTGTGCTTTTAGTTTTGTAGTAAAAACCCAAAAAGGTCTGTCCTTTCACTTGGGCTCATCTTTGAGTCATTGCATCTTGCTTGGCTCCCACACACTGTATTACTTTATCAATCCAAGGTCTTTAAAAGCTTAGACATCTGAGAGTTAATGTGTCAAAAATTTCTTAGGTGTTGTAATTTTTTGTTTTCCTCTGTCCCTTCCACCTGACCACTATCTTCATACTTTAATCATCTTTGAGTCATCAGAACCTAACAGTACCTCACACACAGAAGTTAGTGAATTAATATTTATCAAAAGAAGAAATAATTTAATTAGGACCTACTTAGAATGGTCATATATTTTTTTCCTTTTTTTTTTTTTTTTTTTTAGTTGGAGTCTCACTCTGTCACCTAGGTTGGAGTGCAGTGGCATGCTCATGGCCACCGCAACCTTGACCTGCTGGACTCAGGTGATCTTTCCACTTCAGCCTTCCAAGTAGCTGGAAACACAGACAAGCACCACCACGCCCGGCTAACTTTTTTATTTATTGTAGAGATGAGGATTCGCAAAATTGCCCAGGCTGGTCTGGAACTCGTGGGCTCAGGCAATCCTCTCACCTCGGCCTCCCAAAGTGCTGGGATTATAGGCGTGAACCACTGTGTCCGGCTTTATTTAATTATTATTTTAAGAGATGATATTGCCCAGGCTGGACTCAGACTCCTGGGTTCATGTGGTCTTCTCACTTCAGTCTTCCGAGTAGCTGGGACTACAGGCATGTGCCACTATGCTCACTTTGAAATCAATTTCTTTCTTTTCTTCTTTTCTTCCTCCCTCCCACTCTTCCTCTCTCCCTCCTTCCTTTCTCTCACTCTTTTTCTGTCTTTCTTTCTCTAGAGTCTCACTCTGTTGCCCATGCTGGAGTACAGTGGCATAATTATGGCTCACAGCAGCCTCAACCTCTTGGGCTCAGGCAGTCCCAGCTATTTGTCTAATTTTTTGTTTGTTTATTTGTCTTGTAAAGACAAGGTCTCACTAGGTTTCCCAGGCTGGTCTCAAACTTCTAGGCTCAAGAAACCCTCCCTCCTCAGCATCCCAAAGTGCTGGGATTATAAGCATGAGTCACCATAACTGGCTGGAATATCATTTCAATATAAATAAAAAATGTGATTAAACTGTAATGGAGTTATAAACCACTTAACAGTCATTGCACTCATTAAAATTTTGCAGATTTTTTTCCATTTGAAAGTAATATTTGGCCCTATTTTCTTTATTTTTATCTGAATACTTCAGTTGGAAAATATTGGACAGTCATTTACAGGTTCTTGGTACCAGTAACTTTTTTGACAGAGATAGTTCTAAGGTGTTGGTGTTGTTGAACTGACAACACAGGACCTCTGCTTTCACTTCTGCCAGAGGGTTTAGAGGAGTCATGGGCACAGAGGGTTCTTCCAGCGCTCGGTTTAATTTCATCTGGTTTATAGCCAGCTTTCTAAAATTAACTGTGGCTAAAGCTGAGTAGTAAACTTTTAAAAAGACCTTTAGTGGGGTTAGCAGACAAGGCCACCAGATGGATCTATTCTTCCATGAAAGAAGAAAATTTCTCCTGTGAGATGGCCATACTACCTGTAACCAGTGTGTCTGGTTGTCCTAAGCCAGTAAAGACCTATTAACATCACTGTCTCAATGTCCTAAACTTTCATGGTTTACCACAGGAAGTCAAATTTCTTCTTTAATACTCTCTTACCCAAATGATTCTATAATTTCTCACAGTTCTTTTATGTGTCTAGTATCAGTCCTGACTGTCACTTGTTGGTGCTGGTGCTGAGTTGTCACTTCATATCTTCAGTCCAAACAGGTTGGCAAGTTGTCTCTCCACTCTGTGAAGGTGCTGTGGTCACCTTCATGGTAAAGGTGGAAGTGTGTGTGAAGTAAGAAAGAGAATTTCTCCTTTTTTTTTTTGAGTTGGAGTCTCACTCTGTCGCCCAGACTGGAGGGCAGTGGCACACTCACGGCCACCGCAGTCTTGACTTGCTGGGTTCGGGCAATCCTCTACCTCAGCCTTCCAAATAGCCGGAACTGCAGGCACGTGCTACCATGTCCAGCTAATTTTTTAATTTATTGTAGAGACAAGGTCTCGCCACGTTGCCCAGGCTGGTCTCAAACCCGCGGGTTCAGGCAATCCTCTTGCCTCGGCCTCCCAAAGTGCTGGGATTATAGGCTTGAGCCACCACGCCCAACAAAAAATGTCTCCTTTTGGTGTTACTTTCTCTTAGGGCTAGAGGTGTCCTTTCAATAAAGGTTATTTAATCCTTGAAGTGTTATAGTAATGAATAATGAGTGAATTTCATTAGTTAGTTTTCATTAGCTTTTAGTTTTCTCAGGAATTATGAGGCTGGAGGAAGGGGACAGAGGATGCTAATTCTTGACCAAAAAGTAAATAAATAAATTTCCCCAATGCTGTGTTTTTATGAGCACCATTTTTAATTACTTTCTAATATGCTACTGAAAAATAATATTTCAATCTACTGGTCACATAGATTGTTTTTTGGTTTCTGCTATTATGTATACTGTTTCAATGAATATTATTTGATATTAAATTTTGCCATTTAAAATAGTATTTTTTTTTTGAGTTGGAGTCTCACTCTGTCACCCAGACTGGAGTGCAGTAGCCGCTCTCGGCCACCGCAGCCTCGACCTGCTGGGCTCCGGCGATCCTTCCGCCTCAGCCTTGCGAGTAGCCAGAATTACAGGTGCACGCTACCATGCCCGGCTGATATTTTGATTTATTGTAGAGATAAGGTCTCGCCAAGTTGCCCAGGCGTGTCTTGAACCTGCGGGCTCAGGCAATCCACTTACCTCAGCTTCCCAAGGCGCGGGATTACAGGCTGAACCACCGAGCCCGGCTTAAAATAGTGTTTATCTAGGATAGACTCCTAGGAATAGAATGTGTGGACCCAGTGGTATATGAATATTTTTATGCTGATAGAAAACAGATCGATTCAGACAGGAAAATAACTTTCCAATTGTTAGAATATATGTATCGATGTCCTCTAATATTTAGGAACATGAAAAATGAAACCAAAGATCAGAAAGTTATTTTAGTGAGCAAAATAACAGACTAGAGGAAATACTATTGGCTTATGAAAAGTTTAAATCAGTCTATGGTATGCAAGGCAGACTGATCACTTACTTCCAAACCCATCACTAGTATACTTTGGGGGTTCAGGTTATTGCTAAAAATAACCAGAATAGACCTCAAGATTTACGGCTGGGTGCAGTAGCTCACACCTGTAATTCCAGCACTTTGGGAGGATTGCTGAGCCCAGGAGTTCAAGAACCTGGACAACATAGCAAGACCTCGTCTCTATAATAAATAAATAAGCCAAGTACTATGGTGCTCACCTATAGTCCCAGCTATTTAGGAGGTCCAGACTGTGGTGATTGTGCCACTGCAGCCCAGCCTGGGCAACAGAGTGAGACCCTGACTCAAAAAAAGTTTCTATTTTCCTGGGAAGGTGGACTTGTTAATGTCCCTGTGCTAGATGAATCTTGGTTTTATAATTTCTTCCAGCATTCACCAACTGAGGAACAAAGTGTCAGAGGAGCATGATGTTCTCAAGAAGAAAGAAATGGAATCAGGGCCCAAAGCATCCCATGGCTATGGAGGTCGGTTTGGAGTAGAAAGAGACCGAATGGACAAGGTAAGTTGGAAAGGAGAGATCTGCTTTAAAAAAAAAAAAAAATTAAGAAAGTGCTGGGCACAGTGGCTCTCACCAGTAATCACAGCACTTTCGGACGAGGAGATGAGAGGATTGCCTGAACTCAAGGGTTTGAGACCAGCCTGAGCAACGTGGCGAGACCTCATCTCTACAGTAAATCAAAAAATTAGCTGGGCACGGTGGCGCACACCAGTGGTTCCAGCTACCTGGAAGTTTGAGGTGGAAGGATCACCTGAGCCCAGCAGGTTGAGACTGTGGTGGCCATGAGCATGCCACTACACTCCAGCCTGTGTGATAGAGTGAGACTCTGACTCAAAAAAAAAATTAAGAAAGAAAATATAGATTGATTCATTTACTGGTTTGTTTGTTTGTTTGTTTATTTATTCTGAGTTGGAGTCTCACTCTGTCACCCAGACTGGAGTGCAGTGGCCGTTCCCGGCCACCGCGGCCTCGACCCGCCGGGCTCCAGCGATCCTTCCACCTCAGCCTTCCGAGTAGCCGG